AGACGTCCGTTTCCTGATTAATACATGCTTGGACAAACCCTGCTTCAGCTACACGCTGTGCATGTGTATGTGTGTATACAGAAAGGTAGAGCTTGAGCCATTTTCTTTTATTTGAAACTTTCCATAGGTTACATTGACCCTTTTTCTTAACAGATGAGGCTGTTTTCAGGCTTGTCCTTCGATGTCTCCAGTAAATCACATCCCCTTTTCACCTTCCAGAGCATCGTCACCTGTGCAGGTCCCTGCTGGACAAGTGCTTGTAATGCACCCCTTGCACTCACGCAGATATAACTGGGTACGTAGTGTGTCAAGGGAAATAAAATATTCTGTGCAAGGCATTGTTCAGCAGCCGCAGCACTGCCTGGTGCATTACAGCAGTGTGTTAAGAGCACAATATCCAGTTCTTATGAGGCAGATGAGGGCTAGTATCCACATCTGATAGACAGGGAGGTGTAAGCCCAAGTTACGTAAGTCTGGAGCACCTGACCCCTCTGTGGTTGTGGGGATTTCCACTTCTTCACTGTTGGAGTGAGCTAAGTCAGTCCCTCATACCTTGCTGCCTGCTTGGGCAGGGCTTGTCCCTGGCACAGACTATCGAATGCCACCTTTTCCAGCTTCTGACCTCTGTGACACCCATGTAAATCCCAATAACACCCTGCGGAGGGGATCTGAGCGCTGTGTGCATCTGTTGCAGTTAGGACTAAGGTTAGCATCTAAACCTGTGGCAGGAGAAGGAAGCGGGTAATATGAAGACTACACAGGAATTGCTGCTTGAGCCAGTCCGTGGTCTCAGTTTCTCATCTCTGCTGGAGCCTTTTCAAAACATCAGGCAGAATGGGATGGAGGAGCTGGCACTGTGCTCCCAAGCTGGTCTCTCAAAGTTTTCCCTGAGCCCTCCTCAATTGGTTTAGTTATAGAACAGGACGTTTGAGCTCAGGGAGGACCGGCCTGCAGGCAGCAGGCTTTGGGATGGGGCTTACCCACTACATCACTGCATCTGAGCTGGGTGCAGCCTTGGTGCAGCCTCTCCCAGCCCAGGAGATGCAAGCTGAACTGCCCTCTATCATCCTGCAACACCAAAGTTGGCCCCATGTAGGAAGGGGTCAGAATAAAACACCAGGCTTCAAAATGACCTGGAATCCCTCCAGGGACTTTTGCTCAACTCCCAGGAATTAATCACCTGCAGCTCTCAAAACCAGTCTATTGCCCACTGCTGCACCATCACTACTGTTATTTTCATCCTGTCCACAACCACTTTTTCTTTGTTTCCGTTTCAAATGCAATGCATTTATTAAAGACTTCCCCACAGCTGAGTTCCAGGGTTCTCTCTGCTTTGTTTACCAGGAATTACTGCCTTTTTGGAAGCCTGTCTCAAACACTGATGCCTGAAGACTAGTCTGTAAGCAGATACATCACATTGGTACAGCCTTGGTCCCAGACAGTTAACGCTGAGGCCAGCCCAGTGGGAAAATCAGCCGTCCTCTGTAGGAGATATTCTCATTCAAACCCCTCCATCAGACTGTGACCAAAAAGCAAAAGAGCTGGGAAAAAGCTCGGGTTTCCAATTACTCTCTTCAAAAGGGAGAGGAAAAATTGGAACGGGATTGTTCTCCTCCTGTGCCACGGTTCTTATTGTGTCTGTAATGATCCAGCCTGGCCATCTTCCACTCCTTCCTCCTTGCCTCGCAGCTCCCTCCCCAAACAAACGATACTTGGTTGCTGTTAATTGGGAGCAGCCAAAATAACTGAATCCCCCGGAGATGGGGGGTGAGGACAGAATCTCAACGAGACGCCCTGCTGATGAATGTGGCTTTCAGCCGCTCCTACGCCCCTGTGAAGGGAAAAGAATAGGGGCTCTGTGAAAGTGAAACAGCCAGTGCTGACCTTGGGTTTCTGGGTTGGGGTTTTTTTCCCTTTCTTTCGTTCTCTTTTCTAACGTTAATTGCTCATAGCTTTGTCCATCACATGATCACTGGAAATTGCCAACTTGTTCTCACTCGTTATTGTCACCAGTCTGGTTTGCAATAAGCACTCTACCAGGTTCCTGATTCAATGCTGTTTATCTGAGCGTCAGATGTGCTTCTTGTGATTTTGGACTATTGTTTGGAATATCTCTGCCTCTCCCCCAGTCTGTTAAAAACTGGCATTTGCCAGCTGTGAAAGCCAGCCTGGGAGAATCTCTCCTACCTGCTGCTGTCGGGGAGATCTGCAGCACCTAACCTCTCCTTAGCCCTGCTCAGGGGCGATGCTCCCTGAACACGCTGAGCTCTTGGGATAAGATATTGTGGCAAAATCCTGGCGCTAGCACACACCGTACAAGCTGGAGCCAGCCTATGCCTGGTACAAGCTGCTTGTCTTTCTTGTATCCTTGTCAGCATGCAGAGCAGGCAGGCCATGGATGGTGGAAGGGGCCTATGTGCCTCTCACATTGGCATACATCCGTACGCCCAGGCTTGATTGCTGTCTTCCCACATGTCTTCTGTTGCCTTTGCTCTTTACAGACAGGTTTCAGTGTATTGCTGTCTCTGTGCAGATGAGTGCTCAAGTGCTGCTCCTGTGCAGCTCAGCTGCCCCGTCTGTGCCATATCTGAGCTGTTGTTCATCTACTGATGTCCTGTAATCCACTCTAGCATTAGTCTGTGTTCTCCAAGAAGTGGGGAGCTTCAGTACGCTCTTTCTCTTTGTGCCTTGCTACCACGGTGCCCATCTTCAACATCAGTGCCTAAATACCTTTTTGGATAGTTTTCCAGCATCCTGCTGGGATGAATGGGGGCAAAAATTCAGCACTGAGCCCCCTTTACTGGGCCCAAATCCTTGAACCATGCTTAGTTAAAGGGAAGCTGGCAGATGGTGAATGGTGGTCCAAGCCCTTTTGTTTGGGTTATATCAGAGCAAATGCTGGGAGAGGTGTGAAACACATGATGGCAGGTTAATAGACAAGGCAGAGGAGCTTAGACACAGAAAGCACTTCAGAGTCTGTACTCACACCTCTGCATAGGGCAGAACCTGTGTGTAAGGCCTGCAGATCATCAGCTGGAGAGTGTAGATGTCTTGATGCAGTGGAGGAGATGCAGTCAGCATGGGAAAGGAGCTCTTTTGTGCAGATCTAGACCAGGAAATTAAACACTATCTTAGTACAGATGTCCATAAAATCTCCCTCTCCTTCCCACCACAATGTGCTCAGCCTCCAGCCAGTTTCTGGTCAGATCTTAGAATCACAGAATCACAGAATGGTTTGGGTTGGAAGGGACCTTAAAGCTCATCTAATTCCAACCCCCTGCCACGGGCAGGGACACCTTCCACTGGACTGGGTTGCTCAAAGCTCTGGCCTTGAACACTGCCAGGGATGGGGCACAACACCAACAGCCAGGATGCTGTCTTCAGTCTTACCCATGTGTGAAACTGAAATACTATTTTCAGTGCCTGTTTTGCTTTCTCTGGCTAAGGCAGTTCCATCAAACTCAGCAGCTGGCAAACAAATTAAAAAACCCAAACCAAAACCAGCCCTAAGAGGTGCTAGGGGAGAAACCCTGGAAAGTGCAGGCAGAGAGAAAATTGGCTGGAAAATGTAACTTGATTATGAGAATTCCCATCTGCTAGAATATGGAAGCAGCGTGAAAATATTTTGTCCGTCATGAGAGGCTTTGGGTTGCAAGAGGAAGTGGGACTTGCAGCCTGGTTCAGCATCTGCTCTGGCTTTGCCCTTTGTGCTGTCTCACCAGCCTAGATTGGGTCTCCCATCATGTGCCCATGCAAACTATTCCTTTGTCCCACCTCTGGCAGCAGCTGGTACCTGATGCAACAGAAGAAAAATACACTGTTTCCCACACTCAGGCAAAATACTTCACATTTAGTTATTTTTGGCCATCTCCATCCACTGCAGCTCTAGTTGGGTGCGTATAAGCTTAGGAGTCAGGCCCCATTCACACCAACATGTGTGTGTTGTATGCACAAGAGTAACCACAGCCCTACAGAGTCTGGTGGGGCTCCATCAGCATCAATTTTGGTTCAGGCATGGGCATCTGTGTGATAAGTTCTCTGTTTTGTGTGGCATAAGAACCAGCAGGGAAGAGAACTATCTAGGGCGGAAGGGAAATGAAGGGTATTGGGAGTTAATTCAGTGCTGTGAGGTAGTCTCCAGACATTAGGATCCTGCTGTGCCCTGAATCTGAACCTTTCAGTCAGAGCTTAGCAACTCCAGAGGTTGCCAAGGAGCAGAGCAGAGGAGTGCCCAGCACTGGGATTTGACTGCTCTGAGCATCCAGGCACATCTCATCACAGCCCCTCAGCATGGCTCCATGGATGCTCCCAAGGCTTCGATGCTATACCCAAACTGCAGTGAGCTCTGGTGGGGAGCCTCTCCTTTCTCCATCACCTCCCATTCCAGCTGTTTCTTACACCTGTAGGGATGAGGGCTGCAGGTTTGGGACTGTGGACTTCTCACCTTCTCCCTCTGCCAAGCTCATTGTAGCAGCCCCATGTGCAAGCTGCGTGGCAGGGAAGCTGAGCTTATTTGCAACCTCCATGATTTAGTTGGGACCCTCTTCAGTCAGGTGCAGAAAGCCAGGTTATTCCATAGATGAGTATTTATGCCCCAGTTATGTCCTTGATTAATTTTTTCAGGGAAAGGGGTGAAAAATCCCTTCTGCAAATCATCAGGTGCTTTCTTGACATCTAACTGCTTCTTGTACCCCCTTCTTGGCAGCTCCTGGCTGCTTCTGAAGATGCTCCAAGCTGAGTGCCTGAGGAAGAAGGGCACTGCAGGGACAGGCCTGTGCCATCGTTCTCCAAGCTGAGTTAGGTCTGCCGAGTTTAGAAAAGCCCCTTTCCCTTAGAGCAGAAGCAGCATCTTGATGGCACCATGGCCCATCCCACGCAGGAGGGGCAGCACGTTCTTCTCCCCGATCCATCTCCGCTGACATTTTTTCTTTCTCCCCTGCCTGCAGGGCACGAAGACGACGTTCCCCAGACCCGGGCTCAAAGGCGCTGCACGCTGTGAGATGACAGCCATCCTGGAGCGGATCAGCACGCTGTCCCTCAGTGGGCAGCACCTCAGCCGTCTCCCCAGGCTGCTGGAGGATGGCTTCCCCAAGATGCCTTGCACGGTCAAAGAGTGCGAGGTGCCGCAGCTCTTCCGTGAGCCGTACATCCACACCGGGTACCGTCCCACCGGCCAGTACTGGCGGTACTACTTCCTTAGCCTCTTCCAGAAGCACAACGAGGTGGTCAACGTGTGGACTCACCTCCTGGCGGCGCTGGCTGTGCTGCTGAGATTCAAGACGTTTGTGGAGGCTGAGCAGTTGCCCGTGGATGCGTGGTCCTTGCCTTTGCTCATCTTTGTCCTCTCCTCTGTCACTTACCTGACCTGCAGCCTCTTGGCCCACCTACTGCAGTCCAAATCGGAGCTGTACCACTACACCTTCTACTTCATGGACTATGTTGGAGTCAGCATCTACCAGTATGGTAGCGCCCTGGCTCATTTCTACTACAGCTCCGACCAAGCCTGGTATGACAAGTTCTGGCTTTTCTTCCTGCCAGCAGCTGTTTTTTTGTGCCGGCTGCTGCTATGCGAAGTACCGGTACCGGCGGCCTTACCCCATCATGAGGAAGATGTGCCAAGTGATCCCAGCCGGGCTGGCATTCATCTTGGATATCAGTCCTGTTGCTCACCGGGTGGTTGTATGTCACCTGGGGGGCTGTGAGGAAGATGCTGCTTGGTACCACACATACCAGATACTGTTTTTCCTTATCAGTGCTTATTTCTTCTCCTGCCCAGTCCCTGAGAAGTACTTCCCTGGCTCCTGCGATATCGTTGGCCATGCTCACCAGATCTTCCACACCTTCCTGGCAGTCTGCACCCTATCACAGCTCGAGGCCATTCTTTTGGATTACAAGAACAGGCAGGAGATTTTCCTGAAGAGACACGGGCCTTTCTCTGTTTACCTCTCCTGCATTTCTTTTTTTGGCCTGGTGGCTTGTAGTGCCATCACAGCTTACGTCCTGCGATGCAGGATCAAGGCCATCCTGGCTAAAAAGGACTCCTGAGAGTCATGAACATGATGGGCATGACATCACCGGGGCGGGGGGTGAAAATCAAGGGGCATAACATATTAGGGACATAACTGTCTTATTTGCCTAACACACTGTGACTAACCAGGACCCTGGACTTGGGTGGAGGGCTGGAGACTTCATGCTATATGCATTTTCACAGCAGGGACTGCCTTTTGCCATTCAGGGGGACATGGATGTGTTTTAAGCCAGAACACTTAACCAAGGATGCTGAAATAGGCAGAGGTTTCTTGTTCATTCTGGTAAACCTGAGAGTGATATGTTGCTGAATGTCAGGGAGAACAGCCTGAAGGCTGTGAGACTGTAAAAGGGTCTGCCAGGGCTCACAACACAGCCAAGAATGCGCCATGAGGACCACAGCTGGATGTGATGACCTCTCTGGGTTTTGCCATCTCTGCTATCTGTTGGGGACCTGTTACTATCAAGGGCAGTAGCAAGGTTTCAGGAGGAGTCTACATTTCTAGGGTTTGGGTGCAAGGGCATGTGTGGCACAGTGGCTGGTATAACCCTTTTCCTGCTCCACCTGGGCTAAGCCAGGTTCTCTTCACAGTCTCCTTGTCAAGTATCTCAACACCAGGTTGCTGAGGTGGCTTTGGCAAAGCATGTTTGGAGAGTTAGGCCTGACCTGGGGTCCTCTAGAATGAACTGGAACTCGAGCACTATATGTCTGCCAGTGACTGGTGTAGATGTTAGGTCAGCTCCATCTTTTCTTTCTGTATGACTGCACCATCTTCGGTGGAGCTGCTAATCCAAACCGAGGAGTCAGGAGATGGGGTCTTTCTCAGCAGTTTTAATTTAACCTAAGGAGGTGCCAATGCTGATGACTTTTTGGTAGCCTACAAGACAGGTCTTCAGAGGCTCCTCACTTCCATTTTAAATGCTTAGGTGCCTTAGAGGAGCTGGGCCTGGGTCAGGTTGGAGATGGTTTTGAGCCTTCCTCAGTAGCAGTGGCAGAGGTTGAGCCATCAATATTCAGGGGCACCAGGAGAGGAGCTGCTTTTGGTGCTGGGTACACCATTTTTTTTCATGCGTTCTTGCATAGCCTGTGTCATCTGTCTGGGAAGACTTCCATGTCCATGCACTGTAGAGTAACTTGAGTGTGAGCTGTCCATTACAGGAAAGGATCTGGCCCCTGGGCCTCCAACAGCCCTACTGTGGTCATGGCCAAAAGGGTATGAAAGTGAAGTAGTCTTTATTCCCCTCTTAATGGTGCTTTAAGGACACCAAGCAGTCCTTGGTGGGCCTTGTGGGAAAGCTGACATTGAAGCTGCAGGGTTTCTTTTCTCTGACCAGTGGGGTTGTGAATCTGGCACGTTTTTATTAGCACTAGAACAGCCAAAGGCAGGAAAGGGTATCAACATTAGGGTTCTATAGAACTTTGGGAGGGGTTTGTCCTTGAGACTTGGTGATTCCTATGTGGAGTAGCAAAGATAGTAGTCAGGGACTCTTAATGTCCATGGGTCACTCCTGTCCAAGGTGTAGCAAGGGTTAATTTACTGTGTCCTCCACTAGAGGAGTCCCTTCTGTGCTTGTTTGGGGAGAATATCACTGTTGCACTGAAGTTGGTAGCACTTGCAGGACAGGGTGCTCAGAGCCAATGCAGAGATACAGTCCCATGCAGCCTAGACACCTACAGTTTGACCCACTGCTTGCTTTCCATAGTAGACCCCGGCACGGCTCCTCACACTATGCAAGAGCTGCAGCCTCAAATGCCTTGACAGCTGGCAGATTCCCAAGAGGTATAAATCTTTGCTGCATCTAAGGAATCTATGGGATCTATTCCAGCTGAATCCCAAGGGCAGGGAAATGAATTGTGATTGCTGGTTCTGAGCAGGCAGTGTAGGGTTGGGGATGTGATTTGTTGTGACAAGCACTGATTTCTGCACTTGATCTGTTTTTTTCAACTATTGAGATGTGTGTGTGTGTTTGTGTATGTGTGTGTGTGCATGATTTATTATCCAGAAAGGCTTTGCCTTTGGCTTTTATATCTGCAAAGCCTCCTAGCTGGGTCAAGATTAGCCTGAAGGAAACAGTGCTATGCTGCTGGAGGAACAAGGTGGGCCAGACAACAGCGTCTCTGGAAACAGCTTTCTTAATAGGTGCTTTGCTGTGTCCTGTGTTTTGTGGACAAATTTGAAATTCATGGCCCTGTTGACAAATAAATTACAAAGGGGGAGGGAAGTAAGTTTTGAGTGCAGGAGAAGAAACATAGGAAAGCCTTGAGGAGGTCATCTAGTCCACCCTTTCCCATCACTCTAGGCCTCGTGGTTTACATCCAATCCAGCTTAGAAAGTAATGACTTCATTTCCTTTGTTGTATTCTGCTAACAACAAATTTGCTTCAGGGGAGTGGCAAGTGGGGATGGTCCCCACTTACACCTCACCATAGCCCTTCCCATGCACAGCAGCTCATCTCACACAAAGCAAGCTGGTGCTGGGAGGTGGACCAATGGAAAACCAATCCTACTGAAAACATGCCAGTAATTTTGTGCTGGTTTTAACTTTCAGCCAGCAAACTTGGACGACACTGCTGCCCGCAGGGAAGGGCCGGAGCGGAGGCCAGCAGCAGCTCCTCCTTTACAGCAGCTGCTTGCTCAACTAGCTTAGCTGCACTGGTGGACTGCTCCCTCCATGGTCTCCATGGCTTTGGTTGTGGGTCTCCTCCCAGTTTGGGGAAAGACTTGAGTGGGAGCAGTGCTTTTTCTCACAGCCTGATATGCATTGCTTTTATGGTAGGTAAAGGAGAATAAGCCACTGAGTGTGGACCTGGCCGGATGGTATCAGTGGGCTCCTGTGCAGGAAGGGTAGTAAACTACAGGCGTTCAGAGCTCCTTTCTGGGCTAAAACTGAGAGGAATTGCTGCTAATAGCAAACCTGCTCCTCTGCTACCTAGAGTTATACTGGTACTAAAGAAAGGGATCACCCAGACATTTCCTTCTCGGAGGGTTTGAAAATAGATGGTATGTCCTACTCTTGTGAAAGAAGGATGAGAACAGTAATGCTGCCTAGTTCAGGGTCACGGAGAGGAGGTGCCCACATGGCTCTCCTAAGGTGTTTCTGGTCATGTGCCTTCTCCCTGGTCCAGCAGAAGTGAAACTTCCGGAGCAACTATTGTGACAGTGGTGGTGTTTCTACATACTCTAATGTTACCCCTCAGGTGAAGCCACTCGTGTCCCTGTGTGGCCCTGCGCTCAGACCTGGAGCTGACCTCCTGGTTATTATGATGGGTTGATTGAGCAGGGAAACACAATACAAATGATTGCTGCTGTGAGGATGCACCCTGTGTCACAAGGGGCTCACCAACACTGGAGCTTCCTTCATGCCTGTCTCCATCCTCCTCCTCTTCCTCTAACCAGCTTATTTCTTTCCCACATCCCTGGACTTCATGTTTGTGCCTTATGCACCGGGCTGCCTACCTGAGCAGATTCCATATGCCATGCAGTCTGCTGCACCTCAAGTGGGCCAGGACTGAAAAGTGGCTGCCGATGCCCTCCTGAAAACCCTGCCATTGATCTAGGGGAGACCAGAGCTGGGTTGGGAGAGAGTAGAAGTGCTGCTGTGATAAACACTCAGCTTGTCCACGAGCCGCTCGGGGCCTTCTCATGGAGCTCACTGCTTGGAGCACGGCTCCTTCCATCCTGGCATTCCTCTAGGGAGGCATGGCTGGGAGGGGTGTACCAGTGGCGGGGTTTGGTGACAAGCTGACCTCCAAAAGTTGAGAGCACATCAAGATCCTGAAGGGACCGAGGTCCTAATCCTCTCCCCAAGACAGTCTGGTCCTAAGACAGTATTTTTGCAGACCCTGCAACCTGGATCTGTAGAGGACTACTTCTGAAAATTCATCCCAATGTGCCTTATGCTGTTCCTTTTTGAGATTCATCCTGAAGGAACCTGAGGTGCAGAGGCAGCCTCTTTGCTGTCTGCTGGTCCATGGTTGCTCTTAGCAACCAATATCCACTGGCAGGATTTGGTTGGTGCCCTCCAGAGCAGAAGGGGAGGATGGAGAGACGTGCCTTAACCTTGTATTTATGCCTAACAGTTTGTGTAAGAAGGCAAGGACGGGTTCCTCATGTGCCTTGCAATTTACGTCTTTTACTGACATGATTTTTAAACACTGTTACTAAAGAGAAGTACAAAAGAGTTTGTATTTTTTCCCTGGGAAACAGGGAAGGGTACGAGTGTTACATACTTACCATCCCCTTCCTAACTCCCATCTGCTGACTTTGAATTGTGTAAAACACTGACAATATTTTAAGCTTTGTACTGTACTGATCATTATTTAAAAATCCGGGGGGGGGGGGGGGGGGGGGGGGGTGGTGGGAAGAACCATCTGTAAAAGCAAAATGGTTGGTGTGGTGTGAAATTCCCAAATGCACAACTACAAAAGGTCATGAGGAAGAAAAGTGGATAGTAATTATAGAGTGGATCTATTTAGATTGGATAATAATTAATAATGAACAATAGGGTGTGGTTTTATCTGTGCATCTCAAAGCACTTTCCAGGTTTCACAGTAACTGTGATCTCATTCCCTTTTCACAAGGGATGTACAGAATAGCTGCCCTGACAGCAATTTGAGGGATTTAAGTTCATCATCCACATAAGTATTTGGGTGTCCGGTTTTCCTTATTTTCTATCAGAGGTGAGTAGCTAGTGATTTGGTGGCCTGGCAGCTTTAGTGGCCAAGCTGTGAATTCAGGTTCAATCAAAACATTTCAGCACACGCTTAAGATAAAGCCAAAGAGACAGCCATTGATGGACAGAAAGATATCAATCAGTCAGACATGAGCCTATGTGAAATAAGGCTAGAGCTTCTGTTCTTGTTGCTGGTAGCTGTGCAGAGTCACAGCATGGTTCAGTTTGGAAGAGATCTCGGGAGGTCATCTGGTCCATCCCCCCTCTGCTCAAGCAGTTGCCCAGGACCATGTCCAGATGGCTGTTGAAGATCTCCAAGGATGGAGACTCCATCACCTCTTTGGGCAACCTGTGCCAAGTGCTTGCTCACCCTCGCAGTAAAAAGGTGTATCCTGATGTTCAGAGGAACCTGCTGTGTTTCAGTGTGTGCCCATGGCCTCTGGTCCTGGCACTGGGCACTACTGAAAAGAGCCTGGCTTCCTTCTCTTTGCACTGTCCCTTCAGGTATTTAGATACATTGGTAAGATTTCCCCCAAGCCTTCATAGCATCATAGAATAGTCTGGGTTGAAAAGGACCTAAAGCTCATCCACCACAGTGGAGTAGAGGGATAGAA